TGTTTGTAGGACAGAATGGTCTAGGTATAGTATTACACACCTTGATTCGGGACATACCATATGCTACTTTTGCCTCAGGTAACAAAATGTTTTGGGCAGCCCAGACCATAATTCCTGGTCAGTGGCTATGCTGGTTGGGGCTCATGGCAGTCTAACATCATGTGTACCATTTCTCATTCCTGCCTTGATTCTTGTGTACAAAGGGAGTAAGTCAGGTTATTCATGCAGTGATGTGCTCAACTGAATATTTCTGTTTTTATGTTCCCTTCCCCCAAAATTTTTGTTACAGCATCCAATTGGGGTTGGGGGGAGATAGATAGATAGATAGATAGAGAGAGAGAGAGAGAGAGAGAGAATTAAAAACAGGACATTTTAAAGTGGGATCCTAAATTGGCCATCTTTAGCTTTCTGCTCAAAGATAATGGCAAATATTAACAAAATGACTGTTTATATTTTATAGATTGTTCCAAAGCATTCTTAGGGGCCTAGCTGCGTGGAAGAAGTAGGTTGTGACCAATCACATCCCCAGAAAGAGCACTCATTTTTTCAGTGGGCGCAGTGGCTGAAAAAACAAAGTGTCACTGTCTTCCTATATATCACTGCTAGGTTGTAGAAACACCTGGGGAACACTACAGATCAGGTATCACATGCAGAGTGTAGTCTTTGTACAACCAGATTTTAGAGTAACATTCAAGTACCTCATGCTTGAAACTCAGTCCATAATTTTCTGATTGAATTAGAATAAGCCATTCAAGTGACCATCTACAGGGTGTTGTTTTTGAAGCAAAAGGCTGTGATATGCCTGCGTTTGAACTGAGATTCAGTTCTGTAAGTTGCTGGAAGAAATCCCTTTTGAGTCTAGTCTCACTGTCAGACAAATGCCTGCTTCACCAGTAATTCCCATTTTGCAGCAAACATGCTATTAGTGTGGGACTTACTCCTAGGAGCTCACATTCAAAATGCTTGTTCATTATTAATGGAATATGAGCTTTTGACATCAAAGGGGATCTATTATGTATGCTAAACACTGAAGCAGAAGATGGTGGGGGGAGGGGCAAAAAGAACCTGCATTTCATGTCCTCTCTGTGCTTTTGTCCCTTGTAAATCAATCAAGCTTGACAGATACTTTAAGGAGAGTAATCTTTTCAATGATACTGTCAATGGAGAACATAATGGAACATTGTCTTGATGCTGTGTGAAGACATGAAGCTAGTCAATTATGGACAACACTTCAGGCAGCCGCCAGTTTTCACTTGAAGCTATTCTAGGGAAGCATTCTAATCCTTACAAATGGCTGCCGTTATACACAACATAAATGAGACCTCCTGAAGCTTCAGAAAAATAATTAGCTACAACAGTAGCCCATTCCCACACTTCTCAAACGTCAGCACGATCACATTAACAGTGTAGTTCTGTGTCCTTCTGGAGCGTTCAGTGCCTGCTGTGTATTTATATACACAGCTTTCTAATTGTCACTGCTTTGTTCCTCACACCCACAAAAGCTTATACTGAGAGTGTCATATCTGCACATCTCTTTAACAAAGAAATCCCAGTAGCCCAGCTAACTGTATTCCCTGCTGTTCTTTCCTCTACAGCACAAAATGCTGGAGCTTGTTTATGTAGAAGTTGAGAATATTAAAGCCATACCAATATACCCAGGATTGTACAGGCACATTGAGTCAGGACTATATGCAAACAGGGAGGGACTAGCCTACTAGGTGCTGGGGAGTGCCCAAAGGACAGTCCCTATACTCAGGTTATACTAGAATGTCACCAGCAAAGAATAAAATGGTCCAGCAATATTGTCTGATTATATGAAATATTCATAATAGAAGTTTATCCACTGATCCTACATTCTTTAAGTGAAACCTCTGCAGATTTTTTTGTAGCACACCTTTGCTAATGATAACCCATCCAAACACAATGTGAGATATATGAACAGCAGATTAAAAATAACCAGAAAATGAGGCTATTCTTTGGAGCAATGAACTTTGTGAAGAGTGGAAGTCATTCAAGTCTTGCCGTAAGTTAGTTCCTCCCTATTCAACATAATACATTTTCAAACTGCGGATGGCGTCTGAGAAACAGTGAGTCAGAAGTTCCCAGCATAATTTCCAGTATGAATCATGCCTTTGGAACTGCAGCAGAAGGTGTCTATCTCCGGACTAGATCAGACAGAAAGCTCTTTAATCTCTCTAGACTGAGAGCGAGGACCAAAGTCCAACTGAAATGCATACGGAACTTCCTCTTCGCAGATGATGCAGCCATTGTTGCCCATTCTGCTGAAGACCTCCAACAACTCATGAATCGTTTTAGCAAGGCCTGTCAAGACTTTGGACTAACAATCAGCCTGAAGAAAACACAAGTCATGGGCCAGGGTGTGGACTCACCTCCCTCTATTACCATCTCCACACAAGAATTGGAGGTTGTTCATGACTTTGTACCTTGGCTCAACCATCTCTGACACCCTCTCTCTAGATGATGAGCTGGATAAATGCATTGGGAAAGCAGCTACCATGTTCTCAAGACTCACAAAGAGAGTACGGCTCAATAAGAAGCTGACAACACATACCAAGATCCAGGTCTATAGAGCCTGTGTCCTGAGCACACTCCTGTACTGCAGTGAGTCCTGGACCCTTTGTGCACGGCAGGAGAGGAAGCTGAACACCTTCCATATGCGTTGCCTCCAACGCATTTTTGGTATCACTTGGCAGGACAAAGTTCCAAATAGAGTAGTTCTAGAACAAGCTGGAATTTTTAGCATATTTACATTACTGAAACAGCGATGTCTGCGTTGGCTTGGGCATGCCGTGAGAATGGCTGATGGTCGGATTCCACAAGATCTCCTGTATGGAGAATTAGTACAGGGAAATCGCCCCCAAGGGAGACCACAGCTTCGATACAAGGACATCTGCAAGCGGGATCTGAAGGCCTTAGGAATGGATCTCAACAGATGGAAAATCCTGACATCTGAGCGTTCAGCCTGGAGGCAGGCAGTGCATCATGGCCTCTCCCAATTTGAAGAGACC